TGGTAGCATTGTGCTCTTTTAAGAACATTGTGCTATTTTGGACATTGTGCTTGTCCGAAAACTTGACTTGTAAAAATAAGTCCTTGGGGGGAATCGATCTCGGATGTAATCATTTTGAGTAAAGACTTCTACCATTTCACCGTTAGGCTCATCTGGTTATTCTTTGCAACGCCATTCCTTTATGCTTCTTTCTCGGATGAATACTTGTAGGACCAAAATTAATTTCTCAAATTAATTTTGTTCTTCCTATGGTAGATTCCTTTTGACTCGATATTCTGATTTATGATGCTTGTACTAAAAGACCTAAAAACTAAGGGGATCTAAAGTACATTTGGCTCATCAAAACTTACAAAAATATTCCTATCAATTTTCTCTCTTTTTGATGACGCCAAAACCTATACTCAGTCATTTGGCTTGTCTTTTAAAAACAATTATTTTTCAAAAGATTTTATTAACTTTGACATAGCCAAGACAAGTTTAACATTTGATTTTGACTCTAGGAAAGGTATTTTTAGCAACTAAAATTCCTATTCGCATTTTTGGATTTTAATAATAATGAATTTTTGCATTTTTCCAATTTATGCGATTTGATACAATCTAAGCTAAAAATGTTACCTTTCAAGACAAATAAAATAACAATTAATAACAAGGAAAACTTAGTAGCATCATAAACAGATAATTCGAACCATAGATTGTTCCAAGTTGTTCATGGGTTCATGTTCTCGTGGACCATACAAAAACAAATGTGACAATCATACAAATCATCTAATGACTTTGTTTCTCCTCTCTTCAAGCACATGATTTATATGATTTTGAACATCAATGAAATTGTCACTAATGGCATAATTGTTGCATACCTGCCCAACCGAATAATAGTTGAATGCTTCAATGATGTTGCTTCCGGGCATTATACCTTCTTCATACCATATGATGCACTGTTCTAGACTTTTTCCATTTTGTAGCTCGGCATCATTGACCTTGATATAGTCCTTTAGAACCATGATCATCAAAGCTCTAGCATAGCTTTTAATCCTTCTGAAGTTCTCATTCGAAACCCACAGATTTTGATCACTTGGACCACTCTTCTTCATTCCCTTTGGTAGATCATTCAAAGTCACCAACTTTGGCATTTCAACTCTACCATCTCTTGGTGTGGATTCCAAATAGAGAGCTGCTTTGTTATACCAATTGATTTGCTCAATATTTCCACCTGCACAAACAATGTCACGAAAAGAACGGTTAGTGGTATTTGCACTGCTTGATCCTCCTGGACTGCCAGCCTCACCACCACCGAACCAATATTCTAATCCTCCTCTTCTAGCAACATTTCTGCCAGCAGATCTGCCTCCTCCTCCTCTAGTACTGCTTGTACCAACATTTCGGGTAGCCATGGCAGTCATCATCATTTCAAGCATGCCTTCCAAATGACTGAATCTCTCTTCCCCCTTTTTGGTGTAATCAATGAGTGTATAAATTGATTCACGAAGAGATGAAATAGATTCGGAAATATTTTCATATGAACCTCGAAGGCAGCCCACTTTGGTGTTGACGGAGATGAGATCCGTGTGGACATCACTAATCTGCTTCTCATGTTGATGAACAACATTGAGAATTCCTTGGCTTTGGTTCATGGCAATTGCTTCATTTGCCTTTCCAGAATTCTTGAGGATTTGAGAGAGTTGGATGTAGAACTCATTGAGTTGCCCCTTGACATTTGCATTCAATCCTCCAACTTGTCTCTCAAGTGCTTGGTGTGTGTCGATCAAATGTTGTTGACTCCTCCGATTTTCATCAAAAGATGTTTCGAATTTTCCTCCTTGAGTATTGACAACATGATCCACATGAGTGTAGATGCATTGAAACATGCTTTCCATTCGGTCAACAAGGCTTAGTACAACATTCTCCAGATTTTTCAAATTTTTCATTTGAGGTTGTGCCATCAATATCTTGCTCTTCTCGGGTTGTGGGAACACATCTTGCTCATTCTTGAGCAGAATTGACTTCAAGCATGTGAGATTGTGCTTGATTTTCCACTTGATATCCTTCTCTTTCCGGTGTGTGTAACACATGCGTGTCACCTTGTGCACTTTCTGCATGAATGGATTGAATTTCCTCCGTGTGTTGGCTAACTTGCATGGCATTTTGATCTTGACTTATTTCAGTGAGATTCAACACACTCACATCATATAAGCCACTGTCCATTAAATGTGCACCACATGTGACATTTTCTTCTTCTACATTCCTTGTGACAAATTCATCAATATCAACTAGGAAATCATCTTCGGTAAGCATATCTCCTTGGACTGTGCCATCAACAGTAGTCTCGGCCAACTTAGCTTTTAATTTGTTCACAAATATTCCATTCACAGTAGACATCAAAGTTGCATGGCCAACATCAAAATTACCAATCCAATTCAAGGAAAATAATTCTTCTTCTTGCATACTCGGTCCCTTTGTCATCAACTCTTGATAAGAACCAAGTCTCAATTTTCTCCAATTTAGGACTCTTCGGTATTCATTCACCAATACCAAATCAAGTCCATCAACTTGATAAATCTCCTCATTCAACACTGTTTCCAATTCGGCAATTTGGGAAAAAGGATTTATGAAACTTTGGCTTGTGTTGGGATTGTGACTTATGGTAGGATTTTGGCTTGTGGTAGGATTTTGACTTGTGTTTGGATTTTGGCTTGAGGTAGGGTTTTCATGAGATTGAATTGAGGGTTGAGAAGATAAACCAAGAATTTCTACAACTGGCCTTTTCCTAGCAGGAATGCCTCTCAGTTTCCTTTTTCTCTTGGAGTTCAAAGATTTATAGTAATCACTCATCTTAAATATTATTTTAATTGTAAATATATTTATGTTATAATTTTATCATATGAATTCACACATAATAATTATTAAATAACAAAAAATTTATATATGAATAAACCTCATATAGGATATATTTTTATAACATATTTTCCGTGCATCGCACGCGACAAATACTAGTGAAATAATAAATCACATAATTATTTATTAGAAAAGAGTTACATATCCCATACTTATAAAAAGTCTTTTACACTAAAACTACTAAGAGTTCAATATTGCATCTTGTCATGACACTCAAGAATCAGCTGAGCTAATCATGCCAAAAAATTGTCCATAGTCTTGGTCTTGCTAGGGCCGGATTTTAGGCTGTGCAAGCTGGGCTACCGCACAGGGCCCCCAAATTTTTGAGGTCCAATATTTAATATTTACCAAGCTAGTTTTGAAATAAAAATTAAAAGTTTACAATTAATCTAAAAAGGTTCTATGAAGAGATGGTAAAAATATGTATTTATTATATTTTAACTTGGAGGTCAAAGGTTCGAAACTCACATATGTTACTTTTAAAAATTAAGATTTTGGAGGGGCCTCAGTTATTTACCAGAACAGGGCCACAAAAACATAAAATCCGGACTTGGGTCTTGCGCCAATTTTAGGATCAGAATTTGGAGTTGGTTTTGGAAGGAGTATATATACATACATTAGGCTTCTTTGGGTTTGGCTGAAACTCTTGACTTTGTAATTTTGCTCGCTTACAAAAACCAGACAACAACACAAAACTCTTGAACCATTTATTATACAGCTCACTCAGCTCACCGTGGTCCATTTCTCTTCTCAGGTCTATTTTTCTTCTTCTTCTTTCACCTGTTATTAACTTGCTTATGGAGTTTGTTTTTTGCTGGGGTTTTATCATCTGCTTTGGTTCTCATTCTGTGATTGGTTTTCTGCCATAAAGTCTCCACCTTTGTGGCTCTGTTCATATACCCAAGATAGCTCGCATTGATTATGATTTGACCTTGGCTTCTAGGCTGTCTGTCACTGCATGGTAAAAGTGACAGCTAAACTTAACTTCTGTTCTGTTGTGTTGCCCTCACAGATAGTTCTGTTTGTTAACATTCCCAGAAATGTGTGTTTGCATCTGATTCTTTGATCTGAGGCTGGAGTTCTAAGTAAAATGTTTTAGTTAGATTCTGTCATTTTTGTTGGTTCTGGTTTTTCTGATTCAGACTGATGAGTAAACTATTGATGGTCATGTTTTTTAACCTATTTTTTTTTTTTTTTTCATGTTGTTTGATTTGTTCTGTAGTATTAAACTATTAATTTAACTAAGACTTTAAAAGTCTTTTTCTTTTTGTTTTTTTCCTTGTTCATATTGAGATATTTCTTCATCCCCTCTGTCCATGAGAGCCCCAAAGTCTTACAACTCAGGCTATTCATTTGAGTTTTACTGTCTGCTTATTTGGTTGTTTTTCTTTTTGTTTTCTTTTAATTCAGATTTATTCAATTAAAGTAGGCTTTGAACTTTGGGAGTCTAAAATTATCATGTGCCCGTTTGTGAATACTGAGAATTTGGTTGTTGCAAATTTGTTTGGCTTTTCTTGAATCACCCCTGATTGTTGCAGAAGAGCTGCTGGGATGTGTTGATCTCAGCATCTCAACCTCCTTTTATGACATTCAAGGTAACTAATGATTTGTGTTGATAATTGCAATCAAGACACATAATTAAGGAAAACATCAAATTAAATGTTTTGTGTGTGAAAATGTTGAGGTGTAGGGATTTGTGGGATGCTCCTGTGATCTGACATTTTTTTTTTGTCTTTGGGGAATCCTAGGAAAAATGGGCGGCTGTGTTTCAAACCCAACCAGAAGATCAAATCACACAGAGTGCCCTTCCCAAAGTGTCGAAGGTTTCGTAGGAAGAGGCCTTGCAGTGTGTCTGTTGCACCAATGGAACAGTTTTCTGGTGTGGGGAATTACGGGAGAGATTTCGATGCAGATGAGTTTATACTGGGTTTGCTTGAGACCCAAAATTCCCTAGACTCCTTTTGAGATTGAATTTTGCTTGTTCTATTATTCCAAATAACACTCCCTTTTATAGGGTTGATTACAAAGGTTTCTAAACTAAGAATAATTATTTGGTAGCTTCTAAATCTAAATAATTAATCTACCTAAACTAATTTTGAAGACTAAGAGTAATAAGCTAATTAATTATCTCAGAAGATATCTCACATTGCTCAGCATCTTCAATTGCCTACTGTAGAGCCACACGATAAAGTTCCACCGCTTCTGATCATTAATATACAGGTATGGTTACCTGAATTTAATCGGTTTAAATTTCTAATACTAGTCAAGTAATGTTTCTTGATTAATTCTACAAGCTACCAACATATCCCGCTTCCCTGTTCCTTGGAGACGGGGATGGGGAAGGAATGAGCCTCGTCTTGTATTTCCAATTATCAGAGAACTTCGAGAAAGAGACTTCGCCACAATTTCAAGACAGCATAAAGGTTCTTTTAACATTGGCATTATCGTTTTCTATGAATTGCAGTGTGTGATGTTAATTCTTTTTCTTTATTTGCCCTATTTATCTCTGAAATAGCTACACCAAAAAAAACCTCAAATGGAATTGACAAAGAGTGATGTGACACAACGATCTAGTTATTGTTCTGTCACAAACAATCTGTGGATTAATTAACCGTGTCTTTACTGATTTTTTCTTCAGAGACTTGTGATGGATGAGGTAGAAACCGTCAAGGGTTTTGCAAAAGAATCAGCGGTGCCATACCGGGAGAGACTAAAAATTTTGGTTGGCGTCGTGAATCATGCAGAGAAGAAGCTTTTGCGTGCCTACAGGCTACAACAATAAGCCAGTACTTTCACGTCCCCAGCACGCTTTCTATAAGGTACACATATTTCGATTAGAACAGGATGAGCATTCGTTATCACAGCGTATTGTATGTACTAAAATGAACTTAGCAATGATCTTATTCTCAGGGTCCAAACTATTTTGAAATCGACCTGGATGTTCATCATTTCAGCTACATTTCTAGGAAAGGGCTTGATGCATTCCGGGAGAGGTTGAAACATGGGATACTTGACTTAGGATTAACGATCCAGGTATATACTTCATTTCTTCCGTCATAAACATTTTTTCTCAAGCAAATTAGGCAATATTATATTGTTCTATGAAGCTAAGAGAAATTAAAACATAAGATTAGATTTATACTTTGCATTTTTGTTTTGGACAATTAATGTAGGCTCAGAAGGCGGAGGAACTGCCAGAGAAAGTTGTGTGCAACATTCGACTGAACAAGATTGATTTTGTAAATCATGGGCAGATACCTCAATTTGTAATACCTGTATAACTTCAACTCAGATCAGGTGGAAGAGAATTTAGGGTTTATTATTGAATTCTTAAGCCACAAGAAATTTCTTTACCAGTAAAAGGTGACAGTTGTGGAATTCTAGATGTGGTGGTCTATTCACTATTGGAGATAATGATGATTATATTGTTGCCTTTGCTTGTTCATCAAATTTTCTTTAGCCCAATTCTGCAATGCAATTATTGATAACCCCACTGTTGAAAATCTACTTCATCTCCATATTTCCTTGCAAATTATATCATTTTCCTAACATTCATGATTCAAAATAGCAAAAGAAAGATGTAACATAGTAAGAGATTTTGACTTTTTAGCAACAATAATTGTTTCAAATTAAAATTTAAACAAGGAAAGTCAGAGACTATAGTAAGAATAAAAGTCAAAGAGATTGGAGGTTAATCACCAATTCACTATTTATGTGTTTTATTCTTCCAAAGGGAAGAGCATGTCTAACTTAGTTTTCTAAAATTTAAAAGATTATAAAATATTTTTCTAATTTTCTAAATTAGAAAAATGACAATGAAACGTATTATTCGTGACCTCAAAAAGAAAATTCTTTCATTAGTTAATGCATTATTATTTTTCTTTTAAAATTATTGTGTACGTATTCACCTTTTACAAAATATTACTAGGCATTTTTACTTGTAGTGTGTGAAGATATGGTCTCAATATAAAAAATATTTAAATTTTAAATATAAATATAAATATTTATTAATAAAAATAATTTAAAAATATTATTTTAACCCATCAAATTTATAATTTATATATTTTGGAGGAAAAAAAGATGATATACAATTTGGTAGATATCATAAATTAATTATTTTATTTATAATAAAAAGTGAAAGTAATTCAATATTTGAGATAAAATTAATATAATGATTAGTTAAATTGTCACAATATTTGTTTTAATTGTCTTAATAGAATATTTATTAATAAATTTTAACAGGAGATCAATAAAATCATAACTAAAGTAAGAATTCGATATCAAGGAAATTGCATCTCAAATTCCCGATGTAATTTTTTGTTTCGCTAGGCGATCTGCGAATCGTGCGGCCCATGCTATTGCACAGGAAGTCGTTTCTATGCCAGATTGAGGGGAGTGGTATGACTATCTCTCTTCTTTTCTTGTTAATGTTCTTTCATCTGATTCAATGAATTAAGTTCTTTCCTAAAAAATAAAAGTAACAATTCAATATACGTAGGTCCGCAGCTATCATAAATTAATTATTATCTTGTTTTATTTTTTTTTTTTCAATTTATCCCATCAATTTTGTACATTCTTTCTATGCATTCAATTAACTGAATCCGATATCCGTGCCTTTCCATCTAAAGATGTGATTTTTCTTCTCAATTTGTTTTTTTTTTTTTTTTTTTTTTTTTTTTTTTTTTTTTTTTTTTTTTTTGTATTGTTATAACGACCCTAAGCTAACTGCATAAAGGGCATGCTCACCCTCCCTCTCTCTATTTCGCACTCTCTTCCTCACACAATCTGCTGAACATCATGGCATGGGCGTCGTCGTGTCGCATCCCATCGGAGGGTTATGATGAAGAATTAAAGAAAGCTCTCTGTGAGCTGCGTGCTATTGGTGCAGGATTGAAAGCCATTATAGCCAATTGGGATAAGGATGTGAAAATTTTGGCCTTTAACAAAGGAAAAAGCAGAGGAAAAAGCCGGTTTCAAAAGAAAAAAAAACAGAGGAATAAGACGAGATCGGCAAGGAATACTGGAGCATAGACTCCTCAAATTTCAGATGTCGTCGACAGAGTTCCAACCAAAAAAACAGATACCTTATAAATGAATTGTTTTCTGTGTAAGGATTTCATGCATTTTTTATTTACTGCCCTGCTTGTCCTGGCATTTTACTGTAAGGATTTCATCATTTATTTGTTTAATAAATAAGAGCATTTTAATCCCTAACTATTGATGTCTGTTGGGGGGAGGGAGCTACGGCGGTGGAAGGTGGTGGAGATCGGCGAGGATGGGTTCTCAGCAAAGGCAATCGTTATGCCTTGGACCCGTGTCCAGCATGCTTGCTGGACACGGGTAACAGTGCCGTTAGGCACTGTTATCTCCTTTTTTTTTTCTTTTTTTTTTTTTTAATTTCAGATCACTTTGTTATAGAAGTATATGTTCATAATTTTATTACTATATGTTAATAACTATACATTCATAACTCCATAACTGTACGTTCATAACTCTATAACTGTACATTCATAACTCTATAACTGTACATTCATAACGTCATAACTGTACATTCATAACTCCATAATTGTACATTCATAATTTTCGAAGCTCTATGTTCACAATTTTAGAGCTCTATGTTCATAATTTTATCACTATATGTTCATAATTGTAAGTTCATAATGTTAGAGCTCTTTGTTCATAATTCGATCAATAACTGTACATTCATAATCTCATAACTGTAGATTCATAATCTCATAACTGTAGATTCATAATCTCATAACTGTAGATTCATAACTCTATAACTGTACATTCATAATCTTCGAAGCTCTATATTCACAATTTTAAAGCTCCATGGTCATAATTTTATCACTATATATGTTCATAATTGTAAGTTCATAATGTTAGAGTTCTGTGTTCATAATTTCATAATTGCATAACTGTACATTCATAACGGCATAACTGTACATTCATAATCAAAAAAAAAAATAACGCCGTTAACGCTGTTAACGGCAAAACACGCGCGAAATTTTTTTTTTTTAACTAAATGACGCGTTTTTTTTTAAAAACGACGTCGTTTTGGGTCCGTGTCCACAATTCAATGTGGACACGGGTCCAGAGCATAATTTGCCCAGCAAAGGAGGGCCGGCCAAAGTGTGCCGGGTCGAGGGGGTGATGGGCTGGCTAATGTTGGGCTTGGTCAGGGAACTCGGCCAAATTATATCGTGCACCGCGGTGCATAATCTATTATGCACCGCGCATCAAAACGATATCTTTTTCTTTATAATAAAAAGAAATGGCATCCGTTTCGCATCCTTCTGCAAAAAGTAATAGTTCAACACAACTCCATTTCGATATAACTAAGTTTCATTCGAAATTTATAAACTCAAATATGTGAAAATGTTATTTAATTTTATTTTATATAACCTATAGTTTTATTAAAACACAATTACATGATCATTTTCATAGTTTTATTAAAACACAACTACATGATCATTTTCATATAATTACAGCTTCATTGTACAATATAATTTTATTAAAACACAACTACATGATCATTTTGATATAATTACAGCTTCATTGTATATTAATAATATACATTCAAATATGCGAAATGTTATTTAGTTTCATTTTATATACACCAGTTTCATTTCACTACAACTACAATATTATTTTGATATAACTACAGTTTCATTTGATAATATAAAAATGATACGTGAGACGTGTCGGTCTAGTTACAATGTAGTGTCAATTGGTAATTAACATACAAAAAAATGTGCGTTCCGTTAACACTAACGGCGCGTCGTTTCTTTACTTAAAGAAACGGTGTTGTTTTGACTGCGGTGCACGTGTACCACGGTCCACGATATAATGACCCTGCCGGCTTTTAGTGGGCTTAGTGGGCAAGAGTTCCATTTAGGAACAAACTTTTGTCTTTTTATATACTGTTTAGGCAAAACATTGTTTCTTTGAGGCTTCGGCCTAACAGTATTAATTTTGACATTAGTTTGGTAACCAATTCCTTGTCTCACTGTGCTTTCTTGACCTTTTACAAATTTTACCACTTGAACTTTATTATTTAAAGTAGTAGTAGAATTGGCCAAGTTCTTGGAGGCTTGAGAACACGATGGATCATAACCAAGTCCGGTTTTATCACTTGAGGGTTTTTGCATATTTACCATTTTGTCCATTATTTTGGATGAATGCGTAAACGTTGCTATAACCTCTCTAAGGTTGTGTTCTCTCACTTCCTTTGATTTACACTCTTCTTGAAGACAAATAATTTTATCTTTCAAGTCTTTCACTTCAAGTAGAGCATTTTGCAATTTCTCATTTAATTGATCTGTTTCAAGAATCAGATGATTATTGCGCTCTTTGAGTTGAGAGTGAGTGTCCATTACGGTTTGACATTCTTCCATTAAGTGAAAGAAAGACTCTCTAGAAAATGAAGAATTGACAGAATCATAAGATTTAGATGTTACCTCATTTTCTTCATGTCCATTTGTCATAAGACACATGTCCTCGTAGGGTGTGTTGTTGGAGATGCTCATGCAAAACATTGCGTTGTCATCCTTTGAGGTGTCACTTTCATCACTTGAAGATTCTTCCGACTCACTTATTTCAAGTGGGTCACTAATAAGTGTTTTTCTTCTTTCCTTTGTGAACCTTTTATCTTTGGGCTTGAATTCTTCCTGTTGAGAGTTAGAATTCTTCCTAAATTTCTTGACAAAGAGAGCAAATTGATCATTAGGCAATAATTCAACATTTTGTACTGACCTTGAGGTTGATGGTTGCTTGGCTATGAGCGCGTTGTTTTTCTCTTCATGATCTTCTTCTATTCTTGATTTCATCTCGAATTCATAGGCTTTTAGATCACTGAACAACTTATCGATTGATAAGGTTTTTAGATCCCTTTTTTCTCTCATGGCCGTGACCTTCATGTCCCATGTGCAGTGGATGGTAGACCACGTAGAACTTTCCGGCCAGCCCCGACACGTGGAGAAGCACGTGTCGTCCCCTCCGTTGCCTCGCTGCCCCTGCCAAGGGTCGACGTGTGTCTCTCCTCGTCTTCTGTCCAAGGTTCCTCGGTCGGGAAATGAACATGTCGATCGGGTAAGGACCGGTCGGGAACCGACCAGGTTTCTCTTAAGAATCCCGACCTGTGATCTGTAAAAAGAGGAGGAAAGAGGTGAAGCTGCCCCGGTCGGGTAGGGCCCAGGCCGATCGGGATATCCCTATCACAAGCTATTCAAACTATTGATATTTTTAACATAAATATAGATTTTATATAATATTTCATACTATATATGTATACATATACATACATATAAATAAATATTTAAAATTAATTATTTTTATCACTAATATATTACATTAACATGTTCAAAATAAATACTTTAAAACATGTTGACATTATATATCAAAACTTTAGACATACTAATTTAATATATTAATGATAAAAATAATTAATTTTAAAAATTTATAAGATAATATATGAGTAAGAATATAAATATCATGATACGTTTACCCAATTTGAATGGAAGAAGGGGAAGAGGCAATTAAAACCCAAAAATTGCCCTCATGCAGGATGGTAGAGCTATAGGAGAAAGCGCGAAAAATTTTCCATTATAAGATTATACAGCCGACTTCTGAAACAAAACAAAACCTTTTTTTTTTAGTTCTTTATCCTTGGGAGGCTGAAGCTGAACTGCCAATCTCCAGAGCGCAAGTATGGCCGCTAAGTACGATAATGAACAATCAGATGTGTTTCTTGGTGTCTTGGTCCCAATATTATACATCTGATTTATTATTTTGCTTAAAGAGTGTGTTTTGATGAATAAATCTGAAATCAATATCATGAATTATGGCAGATTAGCCCCTTTCATATGTTTATTATATTTGGCAGTTGGCAAAATTCTTCAAGCTTCTAATAATTACACATGTGTTTGATTTAGGACTGTATGGTTTTGACTTTTAGGGATTTTTTATACAAAGATTATGTTGCTGACATCTGTCTGTACTTGTCCTGAGAATAATAAAATGCATGTTAGTTAGCAAACATAGCTTTATATTCTATTCTGATAGATGGGTGTTTCTATACAGAAATGGTGGATCGAAGAGCTGAGGTTGTTGCAAGGTTGAAGGCACTAGAGGAGGCCGCTGCCCCATTGGTTAAATTTTTGCAGAATGCAAATGCAGTTCAAGAGTTAAGAGCTGACAAACAGCACAATCTTCAATTACTCAATGATCGATATCAGGTACATAGGATTTAATATGGAAAATTTGATTTGAAGTACCAGCAGTTAATTTATAGATTAGGCTTTTTTGAGGTTTGAGACTATCAGTCTATGATATCAAGTTATCAATGCTGTCAGATTGAATCTCTGCAGCGGAGTATGTATAACTTGTTGAAGATTTTTTTTTATTTTTTTTCATTTTTTTTTTCTGATTGAAAAAGAAGGTGGAAGCATAGAATTTAGATGCCCACATTTGAACCAGTTAAACGATGAATATAAATTTTCTGTTCTCATGATCATTGTCATACATGAAAGCATTAAATTCTCACGTGTCTCATGATAAAGTTATAAACCAATTATTATTCAGTAAAGCTCCTATATTTCCTGACACCATTAATGTGTACAATTGTTTTTCTCAGATTGGTCCAGAGCAGATAGAGGCATTGTATCAGTATGCCAAATTTCAGTTTGAATGTGGTAATTATTCTGGTGCTGCTGATTATCTGTATCAATACCGGGCTCTTTGCACAAACAGTGATGGGGTCTGCTTGGGCAAAAGAGTTGAAGAGGGCAATTTTTCAACTGTGCCATTGAGGGATGAATTCCTAGAAAATGCTCGCCTTTTTATCTTTGAGACCTACTGCCGCATTCATCAGCGCATTGACATGGGGTATGTGTAACAAATACTTCTGTTACACCCCACTTAACACTCCTTTGCAATCATCATCTCTGCTCCACCAAACATTATTGATCGCATTAAGCACTAGACAATCTCTTAAATGCTGGAAATCTCAATGCTTTTTTATCAACCAAAACTAGATAGATATTCAGGAGTCCCTTTTATAAACTCTAGCTTTATACTCTTTGCCATTCTAGTAAGAGTACATGTGGCATAATACTTGACATTATTTGTTACAGGGTTCTTGCTGAGAAACTAAATTTGAATTATGAGGATGCGGAGAGATGGATTGTGAATCTTATCAGGACTTCCAAGCTCGATGCTAAGATTGATTCCGAAACTGGAATTGTTATAATGGAACCTACTCATCCCAATGTGTAAGTTCGATAGGAAAAAGTAGATAGTGATTCGATTCATATTAACCTACTAACAATTCTATGATTGTTTCTTTTTTTTTTTTTTTTTTTTTTTTTTTTTGGGAATCATACACAGTTATGAGCAGCTAATTGATCATACAAAAGGTCTTTCTGGACGTACATACAAGTTGGTGAGTCAGCTTCTTGAGCATGCCCAGTCACAAGCACAGCCGACCAGATAGTTTCGGTATTGAAGCCAAAGGATTGTTTTGGTTTAGTTACTTATTTAATGCTCTTGTATTGTGTTAGTTTTATGGAATTCCAACTTTTTAAGATTAATGGATTTTATCATGGTACTATTTATCATTCAGTAACCAGTAGTGTAGTGTTCCTAATTGGGTGTCTAATTCTTTGATTATGCGAGTAGTGAAAATTTTGCTATTTAAGTTCCGGGTCATATTGAACTCTTAACAAATTTCATGTTCCTTTAACCCATTTTAGATTTTTGTTTAAAAATGGGTATCATTCCATCTTATTGGCCGGTGATGTAATTTTTAAGTTTGGATTAGTATTTTTAGATTTTTATTTTGATTTTTTGGTTCATATTAATGTTTTTGAATGTAATTATATTATGATCAATTTCCTTGATATTTTGTTTTTGTATTTTTTAAAACATTTTTTCATTATAGGGTCATACACAACCAAAAATCAATATTAGTAATTATTTCAATTCCAATTCCAATTCCACTCTACTACCAAACACACCCTTAATGTTGAAATATTAAAACAATATAAAATAATATTTAATAGAAATATAATGACAAATGACAAATATAATAATAACAACAACAACAACAAAACAACATGTTTGCATTCAAAAAAAAAAACAACAATAATAATAATAATTAATAATAATAATAATAATAATAATAATAATAATAATTATTATTATTATTATTATTATTATTATTATTATAACTTGGCATCCAAATTAGTTAGAAAAACATGGAGTGGCATTCAACTTAGCAATTAATTACCTGGTGATTACATGTAATAAAAATTAAAACTGGTTGACTTATACTTTTTTCTCTCAAGTTCAAGAAAGTCTATTTGAAACTCTTTTTTTTTTTATTCAAAAACTTAATTGTATGTTTTGAAAAAATTCAATGATATATTTGATTATTATTATCTTAGTAAAAGAATAATTATGGACCAAAACTTATAATAACTCTAGAAAAAAAAATCACAAAATTTTGCTTTCTTTATATTTTTCTAATAAAATTAAAATTTAGCATCACATTCCGTGTATAAATTATGCTGGTGTCGCCTGTCGAACAGTAGGTATTTTGTTTGTGTTATCTTATCTACTATGTGACGATTAACAGAAACTGGTACGACGCAAATGTCGCTATCCTTATCAATAGGAATCGCAGGTTTAATCTGGAACTAACATAACCCAATCAAGATAAATACATGGAAGATACTATGAGGGAATAAACTACACTTGTATTGACGTAAACCAAGACTATAAATAGTATACAAAAGAGAGTAAATAGCAAGGAATTACAAAAATCATTCTAACACAGCTATTTTATAAGAGCTTAATTAGAACAAATACATAGATAAGAAATGTCAGCCACATATATCTTATTAGATACTATATAAAATTCATAATTGTAAAATTCATATTATATTTAAAAGCATTGTTAATAATTTGAGTAATAATTATAAAATTATCATTAATTGTTAAAAATTTTAAGTATGGTAAATGATTATATATAATTTTGATAGTATTTTATATATATATATATATATATATATATATATATATATATATATATTATTACTAATACAAATTATTACTAATAGAAATGTAAAGATATAAGAATAATTTATGCGATGTATAACTTAATAAGCATAGGAATAGAGACATAAATAGGGTTGTTAACCTCAATTCATATTATAAGTTTTTTTTTTTATATTTATATCTATATTTATTTTTTTAGATAGATTTTAAATATCAAACATCTTGTGATCAGATGACATTCCTGTGACTCTTTTTGAGAGAAGATTACAAGATTGAATTTTGGTAATTTTGAGTTAATAATACTAAAAAAATAAAAAATAATAAAAAATAAAAAATAAAAAAAGATAGATTTTAGATTAGAAAGGCCAACCGCCGGTGACGGCGGAGTGTTGCTGGACGGATGTGGTCCTGGAGTTCCAAGCCGCCTGCCAGAGCGATCAGGAAGATCGCATCGCCGCCGTGTGGCTTAACGGGGTGGAGCTGCTCCGTACCACCACCCCCCAGAATTCGGTCAACGACGTTTTCACCGGAGTGTTTGACGTCAACGTTACTTTCGTCTAGTACGATACTAGAGGCGCGACGGCGATCGGAAACTGCGTTCGCAGTTCCGAGACGGTTGAGGAAAATCTAATCGCTATGACGGTGGACAAACCGATGAATCCGCCGGTTCCAGATGACGGACCGGCGGATTCGATCATTCCGATCTCGGCGAAAGGAGAACACGGATTTTGGTACTCGATTCATACCGATGCGCAAGTGGTTTCAAAGGAAGTTACGATTCCTCAGAACGCATACAAAGCTACAGTGGAAGTGTAACGTCCCCAGATGCAGCCATTAATGGAGAAGGAGAGGATGTTGGAAGGAAGGAAAAGAGAAGGAAGGAGAAAGAAGTCGTTCTGGGAAATGAAAAAGAGGACTCGACTAATACGGCGTCGTTGGATGATCCCGGATAAGAGTCGTTGGAAGTTTAAGTGAGACGGCGTCGTTTGAAGGTTACCGTTGGAGGCTGCTACGTCACGTATCGGACGACGTCGTTTTGAGCGGTTATTAACAAACTTTGGTTTTCTCTTTTTACAGCTGCATTCAGTTATTTCCTACACTTCAGGAAGTTGTTCATCCTTCCTTATGTAACCCTGAGAAAGGGACTGATCCCTTATGCTGAAAATAAACTCCAGTATTCTATTTTCTCCCTAATTTCTCTTCTTCTTCTCTTCCCCCCAATCCCCTGAATTTTTAAACCCTAGGTCTGCTAAGCAGGAGCATTCCAAGTGGTATCAGAGCCCCACTGTGGACGATCGGATTAGGAAGCTTGAAGCTACTGTGATAGAATTGAATAGTCAGATTGATGCTAGAGCCCAGGAGACGCAGGATGCAATGACTGAGCTCTCTACCCAGGTGACCAACCAGATCAGCAGTCTCAAGGAGGAGATGCTGCAAATATTGAGGCTGAATCGACCTCCACCCCCTGTCTTAGGCTCTTCACCTGGACAGTCCTCAGTCCAAGGGCAGAATGCTGAGGAATCTGGCTTGAGGGGCAGACCAGACAAGGCTCCCATGCAAGAAGGAGATGCAGAGGTGGCTGGATTGGAGGCATTTACTCCTCAGAGTGGGAGACTAATGGGAAGAACTCAGGGTGAGTGGCTTCCAAGGGGAGAAGGACCAAGGCCAGGTGCTGCCATACAGGGTCCAGATCACTTCCTCAGGTACAAAAGTGACTTTCCCAGTTTTGACTATAGCAACCCTAGGCAATGGGTCACCAGATGTGAAAAATTCCTTGTGTTTTCTCACATTCCCAGAGATGAAGTAGTTAACATATTATTTGTGCAATTATCTGGGAAGGTTGGGCTGTGGTTTGAGAGTTATATACATGGACTGAGAGTTGGATTTCAGTGGGGGGCTTTTGCTGAGGCCCTCTGCAAGAGGTTTGGGGACAGTGGAGTCTCCTTAATGGAGGACTTTGCAGCTTTTAGGCAGTGGGGAGGAATAGATGAATTCACTGATGGGTATGAGGAATTCAAGAGCCTCCTCTTGCAGGCTCACCCTTGTTTAACTGAAGGATATTTTCTGGAAAACTATGTGGCTAGACTGAAACAAAACTTGAGGTGTTTTGTTAGGACTGCTAAACCCAACACCTTGGAAGATGCCATCTGGTTTGCAAGGCAGTTTGAGAAGGGCCTTAAACCAACTGAAAACCCAAGGAACACAACCTGGAACTCCAGGACCACCCAGAACACCAAACCCTATAGCTCCAGTTCTAATCATCCACCCCCTCCTACCCCTTACTCCACTCAAAAACCTGCAACATCCTCGCAATCCTCAGCCTCCAAATCCCCAGAAATTACCCAACTCAGAAACCAACTAAGAGACCAGAAAAGATGTTTCAAATGCTTCAACCCCTGGCAACCAGGCCACAAATGCAATGGCCCTACTTTTAATATAATTGAGGAGATGGAAGGGAAGGACCTCCCTGATCTATTGGAACAGGAAGAAAACAATGTTGAGCCTGAAGATGTTGAGGTTTCCTTATGTGCAGTAGTTGGTGGGGAAGGGCTAAATACCATCAAGTTGTTGGGAACAATTCAGAAACAGCCTGTGGTAATCTTAGTGGATAGTGGAAGCACTCATAGTTTTTTGGACCCCAAGCTTTTGAACCAACTAAGAAGGATACCTGAGAAGGCCAGTCCATTGGTAGTAACAGTAGCCAATGGTGAGAAGGTAGTTAGTGATGCAGTATGCCATAATCTCCAATGGCAAATCCAGCAGGAAAGTTTTGTGAAGGACTTTAGATTGTTGAGGTTGGGGGGCTGTGATATGGTCCTTGGTATGGACTGGGTGGACCTCTTTGCTCCAATCCAGTTGCATACAAGACCCCCGGGAATCTCTTTCCACAAGGAGGGACAGAAGGTCTTTTTGAGGGGACTGACTAGAAGAGTGATACTGAAAGAAGCTTCTGAGAACCAAGTTAAAAAGTGGCACAGGGAAGGGGTGCAGGGATTTCTGGTCCAGTGTAATGCCAAGATGTATAATGAGCAGCCTTGTTTCTTCCACACCACTACCCATCCAAACTACCCAGAATTATCCCTACTCCTATCTGAATTCCAAGACCTGTTTCAGGAACCTACAACCCTACCTCCACAAAGAACCCTAGACCACTCTATACCCTTGGTTCCTGGAGCTAAGCCAGTCAACATAGGCCCTTACAGGTATTCATTTGATCAAAAGAATACCATTGAAAAGATGGTCCAAGAAATGTTGGATGCTGGGATCATTACCCCTAGCTCTTCCAGTTTTGCTTCTCCTGTTTTACTAGTACCCAAAAAGGATAACAGTTGGAGATTTTGCATAGATTACAGAGCACTCAATAACATTACCATTAAGAACAAGTTTCCCATACCCTTGGTGGAAGATTTATTCTCAGAATTGGCTGGGGCTGCCCGTTTTTCCAAGTTGGATCTCAGATCTG